TCAAGCAACAACGAAAAACAGATTTTGGGATTCCTCATTTTATTTTGAGTCGAAAGTAATGTAATAGGGGGCTTCACCGTTGAAATAGAAAGAAAAGAATGTAAGCAGAGAAGTTTCATCTGATTCTTTCTGATAAGAACAGTAATGCAAAGGAGCTTTCCTCTCTTTTTTTAAAAATTTACGCAGTAAAACAATATTTTCTTTGTGTGCATGCTTATCTCTTTTCAAAACAAAAACAAATATAGAGATAGTCCGGGGTTGATTTACCTGAGTTGTGCGAATGCAAGAGGGGTCTCGTTGACTGTTTCGCTTTCATTCGGGTTCTATGTTCAAAAAGATTTAGGTTCGATATAGTAAAAATGTTGAATAAAATCAAAGATTGAAATCAATTTTTACCTGTTATAAGATTTCATCACTATGTATAAAACCGTCGGATATCTCTAGGTCATAGGGGGTTATTTTCTTTGATTATTTTGCGGGTTTTATAGCAGGTAAAGTGAGGGTCATGGGTCTTGTGGCGTTCGGTTTAGGTCATCGGGGCGTTGTGCGTGGTGGCCGGATTTGAGAGTGGTAAGTCCCAGAAAGGTCGTGATTTAATGACTTCGGTGATGAGAGTGAGGTAGGTTTGGGCTTTGGTGGTCTTCGTCGTCTGGAGGTCGGAGCAGAAGCGACGTCGACGTACGGTGGACGTGGCTCCTTTGGGTTTGGGTTTCTCGACCGGGCGGTCTTACGAGGGAGAAGAGAGTTTGAGGAGAGAGCCTTGCGGCTGAGAGCTGGGTAGAAATGATAATTAGGGTTTTAATTTTAGTTTAAGTAGGGTTATAAGCAAAACATAAAACGACGTCGTTTTGGGTATAGCTTCCGTTTCGTGAATGGGGTTATTCATCCTATGGGCCATTTAAATTTTCAAATTCATGCATTTTAGTCCTTAAATTGATGTTTTCGTATCTTTAATTTAGCTTCCATATTTTACGCGCATTTATTTTCAGTCATGTGGTAATGTATTTAATTTCTAAGTTTTTAGACATTTTACGTTTAATTTTCGTATGCTTTGTTTTAGTCCTTAAATCGTTGCTTTCTTATTTCTGATTTTGGCTCCATGTTTTTCTGTATTTAATTTAAGTCCAAAGTATTGTTGTATTCGAATCTTTTCTGTTTTAGACATTTGAGCCTTAAGTTCTTGTATGTTATGCTTTTGTGTTTTGGTTTATTCTTGTGTTAGCCCAGTCCAATTGTTTTGTTTATATTTTAGGTATTAATGTTTGGGTTAATATGCTTTGGTCCTTATTTAAATAAACATAATTATTTTCTGAGAATTGCATTTTAGTTATTATGTTTTTATTTGTTGCATTTAAGTCATGGCTATGCATTGCATATTAATATATATATATATATGGTATAATATGTGGTAATAAAATATGTACATAATTTCTATTTTAAAGTGTTGTTTTGTAGGAATATTTTGTTTATATTTTTGTTGATTGGATGATTATTTCTGTTAATTTACGCATGTTGGCCTCATGTGCAAGACTCAACTTAATCACATAATCGATTAAGGGTAATACTCTTTTAATTTAAAACTGTCAGAATAGCTTTTCTTAACTTACAGGAAAGTTGTTCTTAACGGTTTTAAATTACAAGTGTATCCCGTCATTGTCACCAAAAAATTGATTCTTCACATTAAAATTTGGGAGTGAAAGAAAAAGAAATGCTCGGTTATTTAAATTTGTTGAGAAAAGGTCGTTAGAACTGACCTAAAGATTTGGTCTCAATATATTTAAATAATCGAATATCCTTTATCTTTCTAATGGTTTGGTAATTTTAATTAAACCTATTATGTGGCTTTTGAATGTTAGAAATTTGCATTTTTGTTGTTTAAAGGGATTATTAATCAAATTAAACTCGAACTTGTGAAATTCGTTGCAAAGACATTAATTAATCGACTAGGTACCGATTTAGAACGTTGTGGGGTGCTAATCCTTCCCCACACGTAACCGACTCCCGAACTTGGATTTTGGTAACGTGGACCGTAAATTTGTCGTTTTAATTAAAATTAATTTTATTTAAAATGACAACGTTTTTGGGTGCCCAATCACACCCTAATCAAAGATTGGTGGCGACTCCTCGAACCATATTTTTATCGTAAAGGGATTTCCAAATTTTCGAAACGAGAGGTTTTCTAAAAATCACATTGTTTTTAATTAAAAATTCAATTGAAAAGAGAATAATTAAAAATGACGCGGTTTTCAAAACCTCACTCGCCCCACGGTAAAAAATCGTTTCGACATATAACATGATATACCTGGTTTGAACGTTTTAAGATTTTGTCTGAATTATTTTAAATGTTTTAATATATTTACGATATTTTATATATTTTGTCTTACCCTTAATTATTATTGTCTCACTAAGTTATACTTAATGCATGATGATTTTCATGCGTAGGTTCTGATAGAGATATAGACGTGCAGTGAGGAGCCTCCCGATCATCTTTACAGAGATCATCTATAATATCAATATCAGTAAGATATCTTCGATGTTACTTTTGACTAGTAGTGACATGTATATTTATGTTATCAATTTGTTTTATCAGTTTTATTTAAATGGTCTATGATAGTAAATTATGACCGTTTTGTTTTGACTAGTCTAGTTTTATCAGTATATATAATGGGTAGAATATATATATATATATATATATATATATCATTATGTTTTAAATGGTTTGGAAACTCAAGCAGTTCTAAATAGTTTACGTTAACACACTAAACTATTTAATCACTTCTTGAAAATAGATTTGTTTTTTATGACAAAATATTAATTTATAATTTTTATGCTAACAAGAAAAAAGTTTTAAAGTTGAAATAGGAATGCTTTAAAATGAAACAAAATTTTAAGCGTAAATGTTGTAAAGTTAATGTGACATTTTTAGCATGTATATCAAAACATATACGGGCTATGGGTGTTACAAAAATAAACTCAAACTTATTGTTTATGTACTAACCGCATTACGTTTTTAACAGCAGATACTAAAATGAAACAAAAAACTAAATTTTAGATATAATTTAAAACAACTTGAAGTTTAGTACTAAAACAGATTAAAACTGATAATTTAAGTACTAATTATGTAGTTTAACCAAACAAATAAGCCCAGTATGGCCCAAGTTACCTCTGTACTTAAAAAACCTTTCTTCTTCAAAATTTAGAGTTCTTTTAGAGAAGCCGTTGTAGTCGCAGAAGAGGAACAGCAGAAGAAGCAGGCAATGGGTAACTGATAAAAAAACCTTTAAATTGTTTGAATTTGTTAATTTTGAGGAAATCTGAACATGTTTATTTCATTTTTTGTTTAAACAGCGAGGATTAAGGTCCATGAGTTGAGGCAGAAATCGAAGACCGATCTTTTGGCTCAGTTGAAAGATCTCAAAGCTGAACTTCTCTTCTTCGCGTTGCCAAAGTTACCGGCGGTGCACCTAACAAGCTTTCGAAGATGTAAGTCTATTTCCTTCTCATTTTTGTATCGTTTTATTACGTTTTAGTTCTGGATCATAAGTTTATGTTCTAATTGGGTACATAATCTGGAATTTGATTTCTTAGTGATGAGAGAAAAGAAAGTAGTGAAAGTGAACTTGAAATGGTTTGATGGACACAAGGACCGAGCCAGGATCATTAGACAATAGGAAGGGCTAAATCGTTTGAATTTAAAGTTAGGAACCTAATAAGTATTTAATCCAAAATTTGGGAGGGGAAAAGATTAATTTGAAAATTATTTGAATTAAAATTTACTACTGATAAGCGAAAAGAAAGTAGTGAAATTGAACTTGAAATGGTTTGATAGAGACAAGGGCTGAGCCAGGATTAGACAATGAGAGGGGTTAAATCATCAAATTTTAAAGTTAATAGGAACCTAACAAGTATTTAATACAAAATTTGGGAGGAGCGATGATTAATATGACAAATATTTAAATTAGTAGGGATTAAAATTGTCATTAGACAAAAAAATTGGGGAATTTCTAAGTTATTAGGGACCTAGAAATATTTAATCCAAAATTTGGGGGGCAATGATTAATTTGACAAGTATTTAACTAACATAGACTAAAATAATAGCTTCGGCCCTGGATAGACATGTAACATGTTTTAACCGAGTTAGGGACTTGTATATGAGTTTCATTTATGGTTTGCTAGTTGAATGAATTTGGCCTTGTTGATGTTCCGGTTCTTGATTCATTTGTTTTGGAATGGTGTTCTGATCCCGGTGTTGGTACGGATGCAGCAAGGTGGTGAGGCTGTCCATTGCTCAGGTATTGACAGTAATCTCACAGAAGCAGAAGGCTGCACTGAGGGAGGCATATAAGAAGAAGAAGTTTTTGCCCCTTGATCTGCGTCCCAAAAAGACCCGAGCCATCCGCAGAAGGCTTACCAAGCATCAGGTAGATCCGTTTTGCTCGATGATTCGTGTTTTGTTTAAGTTATATTTTTTAATTCCTCTTGTCAGGTAACTAAAACTGCCGGCATCGTTGAAACTTCATCAAGTACATGGAGAACTAACAATTGCTTTGATTTTTGTGTGTCTACTCTTCGTTTGTTGGTATTTGAAACATTGATTACTTTGCTTGGCAGGCATCATTGAAGACCGAAAGGGAGAAGAAGAAGGAAATGTACTTCCCAATGAGGAAGTATGCCATTAAGGTGTAGGGGTAGGCACCCTCATTCACATTTCGATAGTCCTCTACTTTCTAGTCATTTTGTTTGTAAAACCCGAGTTGTGTTTTCGTTCGATTTTAGCTTCTGTGAACTTTTTCTCCCTTGTCAAAACCAAGATTCTGATCTTTTTGATGCAAGTGGTAATTGATGGATTTTTGCATTTGATTTGCTTCTAAGATTATTATCAATTTATCGTAATGCCTGAATATTAGTCTTATGCAAAAAATATAGCCATTGGATGAATCTAAATGGATGACTGAGATAAAAATTGCATGTATTGACATATCCTAGAAAAATAGAATCACTTAAACGCGATCAACAGGTCGAGGAACGGGTTGCCAACCTGTGCATACTTGAAGGACATGCTTCAAAGAATCCGATGGAGCTTCCATTGTCCATGTTTTGTAATATTCACTTGGATGGAACATATTTTCACTAATGCCTGCTAGTATGCATGTTTGTGCCCCATTCAGAAAAATGTCTCCTTCCGATCTTATTATGCCGGAACATGAGTCTTCTCGGTCGGCTGCCTATGTTTACGACCAAAAGCATCATTTGAAACAAATCGAGTTAAATGACAGCTACTGTTTCCCTTTAAACTTGAAACATAATGCGAAAAGCATATGGTCAAAGTGGACTGGTCAGTTTTGATTTGAACACAATTTAGCTTGATGTGATCTTTAAGGTAAAACAGCTTGAACTTGATAAAATAACTCGAACTCAAAGTAATCAAAATCAGTTTTAGTAAAAGATTGTCACCTTCTCTGTGTAAAATTCGAAGGTTTTCTTCTTCTTTCCAGCTTCATATATGTTGCATTGCGAGTATATCTAATCAACATGAAACGCACAATTAGGGAACAAATTATGAAATTAGGTAATTTTAATCCCTATCACCTTTTAGGGCATAGGTTGGGTTTTTGGACAACCTGAGTTCGAGTATTATATTTTTCTACCCATCACTTGACCTGAACCAAGTTTAAGGAGGTTTTACACGATCCGACACAAAATATATATATGTATGTATGTATGTATGATATTTTTTATTAGGTAAAATAAGGACCTATTTAATAAAATATAAAATGGTATTATTAATCTTATCCCCAAATATTTAAGAGTTATATTAATATACTCTAGTCAGGTCATAACTTTTTCACCTTAAATCTAAATTCAACTCGAATCATATCTTGAGAGCATCTACCTCGAATATGATTTTGTTTTTTTAAACTGACTTTATAAAATCAAATCGAATCAAAATTTATCAAATTTAAATATCATGTTCATCTCTAATCCCGACTCTATACATAATTGAAACGTACCTGGGCTTCTACACTTGCACAAACAGCATAAACTTCCCAGTTTCGAGTATAATTGTTGTACAAATGAACTTTCCCAAACCTAACACGAGGTTGTCTTTGTCGTGTTCCATCGAAAAAACAAAGGTGAATCGTCACCCGAATACTCCTATCTCCTACATGATTAGGGTCTGCCCCTATAAGCATCGTTTTATCATGTTGAGTAAAATAACATCTGAAAAAATTTACAGAAAGACAAGGTTAAACAACGTACTAAAAACTCGTATCCGACACATATTCGAACAAGGTACGGCGATTACTTCCTCGACATTTGTTACCATGTGTATTATCGATATGCCATGTCCGAATCCGAGTAACGTACTCATAACTTACCTCGAGACGGTGACATCGGTGCTTCCTCGGGTGATATCGATCAGGCCGTCATCGTAATCTTTGAAACTACACCTATCGATCCAAATATGCTTTGAATTCGGTTTTATTTGAATCCCGTCAACATCGTGTCCTCTGCCTCCCTCTAACTCCATGTTACAAATTATCACATTTTCACTCTCTTTCAATCTCAATCCTTTTCCCATCAGCTTTACTCTTTCTCCTCGTCCATCGATTGTCTTGTGAGAACCGACGTGTATGTACGACGATAGTTGGATCGTTCCCGACACATTGAACACGATCCAACCTGGTTCCGGACTCCGGCAGGCTTCTCGGAGAGAACCCTGACCGTCGTCTTCGAGGAGATTATACACAATATATGTATCAATTAATGAATTCAAAAGAGAGAGAGAAAAAAAATCGTTAGAGGGAACGGACCGGATAATGAGGTGACGGGAAATAGAGGACCGTGGAGACCACCGATGGCAAACCGGCCGAAGCCCTCGGCTTGACCGGCGATTGATCTTAGGGTACAATCTACGTCAGCATACGGAAGGGATGCCATATTTTAGTTCTTCTTCTTGTTTTGCTTAACGCTGTCCTAAGATGTTTTGAAAAGTCGTTATTTTCCGTTACTTGAACGTGTTCGGTGGGAATTTCCTTTTAGTCCGGGTTGATTACCAAGTCGTTATATCGATCTTAAACTGATACCAAGTAGTTTTAAGTTTCGCTTTCATAAAATTTTAAGGATAAATAACACAACCGCTCCCCCGACTATGGGGAATTACTTTGTTGAGTCTCTCAACTATTGAAAGTTACAAAATCGTCTCTTAACTATAAGGCGATGTTTTATTGAGTCCCCCAACTATTAAAAGTTTCAAAATAGCCATTTGACTATACATATGTTCTAAACTCATCATTCTCCGTTAAAAAAATGGGCAATCCTTAGAGTTGGATATTAACATGTTCACTGTGATATGATAAAAATTTGATCCAAAAATTGTTTGAGTTGTATTTTGTGGATCAAGTCTATGTTTATATTATACCGTCGAGTCAGCGCTTGAAACATTATGTAACCAAGCAGGTGCTTGAAAGCAACGACGATGTTAGTGGGCATCATTAAAGTATGATTTTATCATATCATAATCAACAGATTAACGTCCAGCTCAGACGACCGTCAATTTTCAACGAAAAATGACGAGTTTAGAACGTATGAATAGTCGATCGACCATTTTGTAACTTTTAATAATCAAACCCTGTAGTCGAGACAATTTTATAGTTTTTGATAATGGGAGACTCAATAAAATAGTGCCGTATAGTTGAGGAACCATTTGTGCACTTTACTCAAATTTTGATGTGATTTGATCATTTTTCAATCCGTATGTATTTATACCAATACATATCAGTATGTAGGAATTGGTATAAAATTTTAATTCAAATTAGTTTTATCTTTTCATCTCATCACGCATTCATGTTTAAAATTATGAGAGAATGTTTAATGTTACATGTTTATCGAATATTATTCCTATATAATTGAATATCATCAAGCTGAATATGGGATTTAAAATTTAGGGTTCGTAAAAGCACACTAACAAGAAGAAAAGAGAAAAGAAAAGCACTTTCAATCACTCCCAATTCTTTATTCGTCCTCTGTCTTTTGCTTTTCTTTCTTTAAACTTTCTTTTTCCTTATTTGCATATTTTATATTGGTATAAAATATTATTAGTTAAGCGTTAATAAAATAAAAAATATTTTTTTTGAAATAATAACGGCAGCTCTTCATTTAATAAAATAAAGATATATAAATTAACATATAAAATATTAAGGGACTACAATTTGTGTCAAATATTAAATTTTCAAATAAGTGTATAAATTATACTTTTGTGTCAAATAATTGCCTACATGTTTTGGTATATCCGGGTACCTAATGTTACAAACGTTAGCATTTTAGGTGTCCGGGTTGTCAACGACATTAATTTTTTCCGTTAAGTGACACATGTACCTAGTAATTTTGAAATTTATTTTTAAAAAATATTATTATATTTATAAAACCCTAACTTTTCTTATATCATAAAACAGTCCCAAAATCCTAAATCCTAACCTTAATCCGCCGTCACCGCCTTCTCCGGCCACGACCACCGCCGCCGACGTAGTCATTGTCATCATCCTAGTTATATGCGGCTATAGTTGTTGCCGATTCACCATCGAAATTGCGTGGGATCGTGATTTTCATCCTAGGGTTTGTGGGATTTAAAACGTCAATTTGTCGTCGATCGATTGTAGACCGGTCACGATTTCATAGGAATTTTGGTCGCCATGGGAGGGGAAGTCGGGTGGAGCTTTTTCGACGCCAAAGGGCGGCGGTCAGCGTGAGTTTAGGAGTTAAAATAATTTTTTTAAAGTTTAAAAATTATTTCAAAATTAATATTTTTTATTTTTAAAAATATATATAATTTTATTTTAGACACTTATTTAGTACAAAAGGCATAATTTGTACACATTTAAGCCAAATAATAATAATATCGGATCAGATTTGAGCAGCATCCCTACAAGTGTCTCTTGGTCGTTCTAAAGAGGCAAAACAGTTTAGGTTTTATTATCTGATGATTGATTGGAAGTAAATTAATCATTTAGCTTAACTTTCACCTAATTTGTTCACTTTTTTTCTCAATTATTATATTATAAGCTTTCAGCCTTTCAAGACAATATAAAAGTATAAATTATTGAACTAAAAAATATTTTTTTTATTAATTCATCCTTTACGATCCTAAAAATTATCGAAACTTGTTAAGATCAAAGAAAATTATTGAAGCTCTTTAAGACGAGAGAAAACTATCAACTCGTCTCTAATAGTGTATTGATAAATATGATAATTTTTTGTTTCGATTTAATCTGATTTGATCGAATATTTTTAAAATTGAGGGTTGGGTATAGTTTTTGGGGTTGAGATTGGATTTAGGTAAAATCCATCTCTCTAGATTTATTAAAATATTTTTTGTTTTATAATTAATTATATATTTTAGATCTTTTTAATTAAAATATTTTTACTACATCAAATTGAAATTAGGTCAAGTTAAATTATATAAAGATTTTTAAATTTCAAATCGAGACAATAAAAAATTTGATATGATATTCTAAAATGAAACTAAAATATGAATGGAAAGTGAAATGAAATTAATGAATAAAGTATCTGGGATTCTGGATGTACCCAGAAATCCAGGACCCATGTTTTTATTAAAAATAATATATTTACTTGTCATTTTCAACTGTTTAAATTTTAATAAAAAGGCTTAATATAAACATAATGCATCAATTTTATATCGAAAAACGATTTAGTGTTTAATTTTTTTACTAAAAATTAAAGTTTAACGTTTTTTTTTTTAATAATAAAAATATTAATTTTTAATGAAAAATTAAAAAACTTAATTTATTTACAAAAAACCCTTAAACATTTAATGAAATTATAAAAAACTCAAAAAAAAATTAAAATCTCATCTCAACCCCGTTACCATGGTGAAACATCGAGAAGCACTGACGGAGTGATGGCGAGATGGATTTTGAGCGTAATTGGACGGTGGTTCAAGTGGTGGTGACGGCATGACATATGGATAATTGGATCGGTCGGAATCGATGAAAAACAACGAGGGTGCTTAAAATCCGATAGACCTTCGAACGTTTCTCCATGGAAATGGTGGCAGGTTATGGCGAAAAGCCAACGAGGATTTGATCGGGAGTCAACGCCAATCCTAACGACAGTGACGGTGAAGGCCATAGTCGGTCGGTCGACTGACGACCATGGAAGGTTGGGGGAGGATGAACTGAAGAAAGGGGGAGAAGAAAAGGTGGGGGTGGGGGGCTTGCGTCCGAGAGTTCATTGTTTTTCTTAATAAAAATTATTTTTTATTTTTAAAATTTTTAAAATAAATTCTCAAAATTACCATGGTTCGACACGTGCCACTTAACGGTTGTTTTTAATGGCAGACATCTAAAAGTAAAATGTTAGAAACATTAAGTACCTATTTTTAACAAAAAAAAAAGCAGACACTAAAGATTTTTTCGAGGTAAAGTTTAGACATTTATTTTTATATTAAACCTAGTAAAAATTATTTGAATAAAATATTAATGTATTTTATTTATTAATATAAAATTAAATTAAATTTTAGTTTAATATCATAATTTTAATACCTTACACGATATATAAAAGCATTTTTATAATTATAATGAGAAATGAAGAGTTTTATCTAAACTTAACTCGATTCGATTAAACTTAAAATATTTACCCGAAATTTAAATTTTATAAAAAAATATTCTATCAAATCAAATCGAAATAAAATTTATCAGATATAAATTTATTTTATCATCCGTGATTCAAAAAAAGACTAAAAAATGCTCTGTAATGGTTGTAGTTTACATTGTTCCGACTCTTCATTTTTCTTAAAAGGTATTCGAATTCCGAATAATATTCAGCCTCTCCAAAGGTCCGGCCTCTCTTGACCTTCGGAAACTGCAATATTGGAAGCTGACAATGAGTATAACCCATCACCAAGACTTCTTTTTGAGCTCATTGGAGACCGCTTGCAATGTGCAATGGCCCCCTGAATCGGACTCTCCATCTCAGCATTCACGCTGCTGCTGCGTCTAAGAAACTGCAGGTACTGGAAACCGTTCGAATTTGAGGACAAAGAAGAAGACGATGATGAAGAAGTTGAGGACTTGTTCATCGAAGAAAATCGTTTGATTGCCATCGAAAACGACCTCCTATGCCGATTATCGGCCAATTTCCTCCCTTTATCCGAATCGATTCGTCCGAGTTGACTTTGATTTGACTTCGGAATCGGAATACACACTTTATTGCCATCTTTAGTAGCTGAAGCTGCGGATGTCTCGTTTGAGCATCCGGATTTCCCCAAAAAAACATTAAGATAAGACTTTGAGGTCTTTAGCCTCGAGCTCAACTTAAGCTTTTTAGTCCAAGGCTTCTTCGGATTCTCGATTTCGCATACATATCGGCCTACATCAATCTCGTTCGAGTACTCGAACAACAATGAGTACTCGAGCGAATTCAACTCCCTACTAACCAAACACGACTCACGAGGCGAGATATTACACGATTCAAACGGAGTACTCGTCGTAGTTGGCGTCGTGACGGTAGCAGTGGCCAATGGGGTGCCGTAGAATTCTTCAAAAACGCCATTTTCGCAGCTGTGAACCGACTCAAAACCCTGATTTTCGAGGAGGGGAAGAAGCTTGCCTTTGTAGAATAGTTGATCATGTAGGGAAGTGGTGGGTTGTCTCTCCATTGAAAGTGAAGACATCTGGAACTCAAACTCCCTTGAGTTTCTGGGATTGCTCAAGAAGTTGGAAAATGAAGTGATTTCCATGTCTATGTACTCATCTTCTTCAATAGAGTTCACTGCCATTTTCAATGTTTTTTAAGGTGTTGAAGAATCGGGTAAAGAAAACGAAAGAACACAAGAATTTTAACGAGGTTCGGCAATGTGCTTACGTCCTCGGTGCTTAGACGGCACTAGAAGTTTTATTCAATGTCTCATAGGTTTAGATTACATCTCTATTTATAATAAAAAACCTGGTACATAATTACATAATTAACCTTGTACCGTACCGCGGGGCCTACGCCCCCGCACCCCCAACCCATATAATCGTAACCCCCTCTACGAGACTTTCTTTGTAAGGACAATTGATGTTCTCTTCGCTCACTCCGCTCCATCCCCTGTCCTCTTTACCGGTATATTTATGAGCCATACCTAACAAATCTCCACCTTGGCGAATATCCTGCCTCTTGGAAACTTCAATGTGGGTTGGGTTACCTTACTTCTTTAACAACTCAAAATATTCAACAAGTCCAAGCAATGCTTGAACTTGTCTGTCATAACTAGCTTGGTGAACATATCAGTGGCATTCTCATCAGTATGTACCTTCTGAAACAAAATCTCTCCAGATGCAACCAACTTTCTGATCTTGTGGAACCTTACATCAATATGTTTAGTTCTAGCACGATACACCTAATTCTTATCCAAGTGAATAGCACTTTGATTGTCACAAAGCAACTGAACTCCACCTTGCTGAACACCCAACTCCTTCACTAAACCAGTAAGCCATAAAACTTCTTTTGCAGCTTCAGCCACTGCCATGTATTCAGCTTCAGTTGTAGATAGTGCCACAACATATTGAACATAGACTTCCAACAAATAGGTCTTCCACCAAGAGTAAACACATACCCTGTCATAGATCTTCTATTATCCAAGTCACATACATAGTCTAAATCCACATATCCTACAACCAAAGGATTATCCCGCTGACTACCAAAAACAATTCCATATCCCACAATACCCTTTAAGTACCGAAAGATCCACTTGACTGCTTCCAATGTTGCTTACCAGGTTTAGACATGTACTTACAAACTTGACTAACAACATGAGCTAAATCAGGACGAGTACATACCATTGCATACATTAAGCATCCAATAGTATTAGAATACGGAACCTTTGCCATATCTTCAGCTTCTTTATCTGTCTTAGGGCACTGTTCTGATGAGAGTTTAAAGTGATTCGCCAATGGAGTGCTCACTGGTTTTGCGCTGCTCATCGCAAACCTTTCTAGCATTTTCTCAACATAACCCCGTTGAGATAGCCACAGTTTCCTTGAGTCTCTGTCCCTACAAATTTCCATTCCAAGAATATTCTTTGCAGCACCTAAATCTTTCATATCAAATTCCTGACTCAATAAAGTTTTCAAACTGATAACATCATCCTTGTTCTTCGCAGCAATTAACATATCATCAACATACAGTAACAGAAAAATAAAAGAACCATCATCAAGGCTCTTAAATAGACACAACAATCATACTCATATCGGTTGTAGCCAATCTTGATCATATAGGAGTCAAACCGTTTATACCACTGTCTCGGAGATAGTTTCAACCCGTAAAAGATTTCTTCAATCTGCAAACTAAATGCTCGTTTCCAGGTTGAGTGAAACCTTTAGGCTGCCACATGTAGATCTGCTCTTCTAAATCACCATGCAAAAAAGCAGTTTTAACATCCATCTGCTCTAAATGAAAATCCCAATTAGCCACCAATGCAAGTATTGCTCGGATTGAAGTGTGTCTGACCACAGGAGAAAAAATTTCATCATAATCAACTCTTTTTTACTGTGAAAAACCCTTTGCTACCAAATGAGCCTTGAACGTCTCCCCCTCTTTTTCTGTTACTGTTGGTTTCTTCTTATACACCCATTTGCAACCAATCGACTTCTTACCCTCAGGAAGGTGAACCAACTCCCATCTACGATTGTGATTCAAAGACTCCATCTCCTCAACCATGGTAGCCATCCACTTGTCGTTTTCCTGACTAGTAATGGCATCATGAAAAGTAATCGGGATTATCAATGCTAACAGTAAGTGCAAAAGAGACCAAGTCTTTAAAACTCAATCTGTTCGGGGGCTTTATATTCGTCCGTCTCACCCAGTCTCTGGCGAGACTATAATCCTGCAAATCATCCGTAGCGGAACCTCCAGAATTCGGTTGAGAAGTTTTTGATTTCTCAACTGGAAACTGCTCGAAATCCACCACTGTAGTGTCTTTTTTCTGCTGCAACATGGATTGTTCATCAAAAACAACATCTCTACTGATCACAATTTTCTTCGCAACTGGATCCCAGAACTTGAATCCTCTGACACCTTTCTTGTAACCCAGAAAAATGCACTTATTCGATTTTGCATCAAGTTTGGATCTCTCATCAGCAAGTACATGCACATAAGCATGACAACCAAAAATCGTAATTGATCAAAACTAACATCATGATCAGTCCATACCTCTTATGCAATTTTCCCAGCCAATGATGCCCTTGGCGATCTGTTGATAAAATAACACGCCATGTTAACAGCCTCAGCCCAGAAGTGTTTGGGAAGCCCGCATTCAACCGTAAACATCTGGCTCTTTCATTCAACGACCTGTTCATCCATTTCGTAACACCATTTTGTTGTGGTGTCTTGCGTACTGTAAAATGTCTCTTAATCCCATGCTCCTTACATAAGTGTAGAAACTGTGAATCTGTGTACTCTGTACCATTTTCAGACCGCAAACACTTGATTTTTCGTCCTGTTTGGTTTTTTACCTCATCTTTCCACAGCTTGAACTTCTAAAAAAACGTCAGACTTCTGTTTCAAAAAATACACCCAAACTTTCCGTGAAAAATTGTCAATAAAAGTAACATAATACCTAGATCCACCCAAAGACCATACATCAGAATGCACATAATCAAGAATCCCTTGAGTTATGTTCTTCGCAGTCTTGAAACGGACTTTAGTCTGTTTACCAAGAACACAATACTTGCAAAAATCGAGCTTACAACTTTTGACACCATGCAACAAATTTCTTTTGTGTAATTCTGTCATACCACGTTCACTAAGATGAGCACGACGCATATGCCACAGTTTTGTAGTATCATCACAGGGACTCAATAGAATGAACTCCACCTACAACGGTACTCCCTAACAATCTGTGAATATTCCCTGCAGTCATCTTTCCTTTCATTACAGTCAAAGCTCCTTTAACAATCCGAATGGTTTCCCTATCCTCATCAGCCTTAGGGATAAAACCATTCTTGTACAAAGTGCCCAAAGAAATCAAATTATTCTTCAAATCTGGGATATATCAAACACCACTCAACGTCCAAACAGATCCATCATACATCTTAATTCTGACATCATCAATACCAACAATATTGCAACATCGATCATCACCCAAATAAACAGAACCAGAATTAACCGACCCGTATGTCGAAAACCATTCCCTATTTGGCGTGATGTGATAAGAACATCCAGAATCAAGAATCCAAATATCTGTCAATTGAGTCGTTGAAATAGAGAGCATATCACCCTCATTGCAATCAGAGTTGTCATCCTCGACCACATTCACAGACTTGGATGAATCATCACGCTTCTCATCAGTCTACTTTTTCAACTTCTGATAGTCTCGCTTCATATGTCCCGCCTCCTTGCATTTGTAACAGTGAATTGTCTTCTTATCCCTATATTTGGATTTGGAATTCCGTTTGCCAGACCCTGCATTCTTTGGCTTCCGTCAACGGTCTCGATTACCCTTGACATATAAGCTATCGTCTTGAGAGCTTTCCCCTGCATTATGCTTCTGCTGGTTGTGAGCCAACAAGGTTGTAGTAATCTCCTCAACGTTGATAGTCTCTTTCCCATATGTAAGAGTAGTCACCATGTGTTCGTAAGAGGGAGGCAACGAACACAACAAAATCATCGCTATGTCTTCATCCTCAATTTTTACATCAAACAGAGCCAAATCAGAAACGATTTGATTGAAGACATTCACGTGTTGCGCCAAATCATGATCGTCCTGCATCTTCTGCCCATACAGCCGCTGCTTTAGATACATTTTGTCGTTAAGGATTTGGACATAAACTGACTTTCCAACTTCCTCCAAATTTCGTCTGGAGACAACAGATGCATGACGTGATACATGACCTCGTCCGCCAAGCATAATCGTATGGTTCCTACCGCTCGCTGTTGCAATTCTTCCCAATCTTCCTTCTCCATCGACGCCGGCTTTGTAGGTCGCAAAGCCTTCAGGATCCCTTGTTGCGCCAACAGATCCTTCACCCTCGTTTTCCATAATCCGAAGTTACCATGACCATCGAATTTCGCAACTTCGAATTTTGCTCCTGACATCTGATACCAATTGTTGAAGAATGGGGTAAAGAAAACGAAAGAACATGAGAATTTTAACGAGGTTCGACAATGTGCTTACGTCCTCGCTTCACTCACTCCGCTCCATCCCCTGTCCTCTTTACCGGTATATTTATGAGTCATGCCTAACATAAGGTAATAATCTCTCAATGTTAGATGAGAGGTGAGCTTTAAAAAGACGGAGTTGATTGCACTCTTTATAGTGGTAATGCTAAAATATATTTTCGGGTGGACATCAGATTATGTTCTTTCTAAAGATATTTTCGGGTCAGGTTTGAATTTAATATGAAAAAAAACCTAATCAACCCGAGATAATGTTAAAATATCCCTTATATTTATTTTACCTAATAAAAATAATTTTTTATATATATTTATATCGAATCATGTTAAAATGTGTATTGATTTTTATCTAAAAAATAAATAAATTTTGAATTGAATAAATATTTCTTAAATCCAAATCGGATCAAATATGAGTAGAATAAAAATTTATCCTGACTCGATCCATGACCATCCATCCTTTATACATAAGTTGAACTTAAGAACTACATTTATAAATGACCATATTACTATAACTTTGGTGAGCTGAGAGCATCATCAAATCATATATTTATATCAAAACACATACTCGTATTTAATCACTACATTTGAATTGAATATATATATCATGAATCAAAAAATTTTAGTGATATTTGTTATTATCATTTGGTGAAGAGTATAAGCTTTCGTTATTAAAAAGTTAATAAATTTTAAACAAATGTTAATTTATACTCACCCTAGATTAATAAAAAAAATTAAGTATATTTGTGATTCGTTTGAGAGGAAGGGGATCACAAAGAAAAACCGGAATCGGCCTTTTTTGGTGACTTCATTGTTCAAGCTGGATTACTTGAGATGGGTTTCAATGGTCCTCAATATACTTGGCAGAGGGGAGACCTGAGCCAGAGACTTGATCGGTGCTTATGTAACAATCAGTGGTACAGTGTTTTTCAAGCTTCTGAAGTTTTCCATCTGCAGAAGGTGGGTTCTGATCATAGGCCAATCCTAATGTCAACTGTGAATCCAAAATCACACCATAAAATAGTCCCTTTCGTTTTGTGGCAGCCTGGAATGAGCATTCGAATTTTGAGAGGTTCCTGGAAGCCTCGTGGAATAAGAATGTTCCACTGTTCTCTAGTCTTACAGAGTTCCAAAACAAATGTAGAGCTTGAAACATGGAAGTCTTTGGCAACATTGGCAGATGAAGACCTTATTGCTAGCCAGGATTCGGGGATTGGAATGGCTTTGGAGAAAAATGAGACCGTATACCTTTTGGAGCTTTATGAAGCTCTTAAAAATGAGTTAGATAAGGTACTCGAACAAGAAGAAAGCCTCTGGCATAAAAAATCGAGAAGTCAAGGGATCATGAAGGGGGACCGAAATACAAAATACTTCCATGCCTCTACCATTAAAAGGAGGAAACGTAATAGCATTCATATGCTTCAATTGGAGGACGGCCGTCGTTGTGATAATCAAGCAACCTTGCAAAGCCACGCAGTTAATTTCTTCTGTAAGTTATTCACTTCTGAGCCCCGCCAAAACTCAGGTAGTGATTTTAGTGGGGTTTTCAAGTCGATTGCTATGGAGCTTCTAAATGGTTAACCTCTTCAGTGAGACCGGAAGAAGTTTGGGATATGGGTCCGTTGAAAGATCCTGGGGTTGACGGGTTTTTTCCCCCAGAATATTGGTGTCTTTGGAGGTGATACTAGCTACCAGGTTAAGGATTTCTTGGAGATTGGAGTCTTACCAGATGGGGTCAATAGAACTATGCTTGTGATTATTCCGGAAATTGAGACGCCTGAGAAGATTTCGCAATTCCGACCGATCAGTCTGTGCACGGTATCGTATAAAATTATTACAAAGATTTTGGCGAACCGATTGAAACCGCTTTTGCCAGACTGAGTATCTGAAAATCAGTCCAGTTTTGTTCCGGGAAGGAATATCACGGACAATATCATTCTCGCCCAAGAAGTGATTCATTCGATGTCCGGTAAGACGGGCAAGAAGTCGTGGATGGCGATAAAGGTTGACCTTGAGAAGGAGTATGACAGATTAGAGTGGAGTTTCATTGAGGAGACCTTTACAGAAGCAGGTTTGCCTGAAAGGTTTGTTAGATGGATAATGGTGTGCATTACTTCTGTTTCTACGCAGATTATTTGGAATGGTGATGTGACTAAAGTTTTAATCCGAGTAGAGGAATTCAACAAGAAGATCATGTTTCTCCGTACATCTTTGTGCTGTGCATGGAAAGACTGTCTCATGCTATAAACAGAAGAGTTGCAAGTGGCACGTGGAAGTAGATTCAGCTATCAAGAAATGGTCCCGATATTTCTCATCTTTTTTTTTGGTAGATGACTTAGTTCTTTTCGCAGAAGCCTCCATGGAACAAGTAGGGGTTATCAAAGAGGTCATGGAACGTTTCTGTGCCTGTTCGGGTCATTGAGTCAGTGCTACTAAAATGCAAATGTTCTTTTCTAAGAATTGCAATAATACTTTGAGAGGGATGATTGCCCGTAGTCTTGGTTTTGAGGAGGTGAAGAATCTTGGGAAGTACCTCGGAGTCCCCCTCTTGCATGGAAGAGTAACCAAGGCAACTTACAAGTACCTACCTGAAAAAGTTGAGAAACGCTTGGCAGGTTGGGTGGATAAGTCCCAGTCCCTTTATCTGGCGGGACGCATTACACTTGCTAAAGCTGTGCTTCAGGCGATTCCCTATTATGCGATGCAGTCAACCTGGTTACCAAAGGGGATTTGCGATTCGTTGGAAAAGTTGATCGGACGTTTTGTATGGGGCTTTGATGGAGATACCAGGAAAGTTTCATTAGTAGACTAGGAGACGACTAAAGCAACTGTCGAAAATGGAGGCCTGGAAATCAAGGATTTGTATCATCAAAATTTTGCTTTCATTATGAAGATAGGGATGCAACTTCTTGGAGAGGAGAATAAATTGTGGATTCGAGTTTTAAAAGCAAAGTATAGGTGGACGGAAGTGTTTCCAACTTCAATCTCTCGGCCACGTTGCAGCAAGTTATGGAAAGGGCTCAGTTGCATTTGGGAAGAAATTAGAAATAACACTCTTTGGCACATTCGAAATGGTAATCAAACGGATTTTTGGTAAGACGTTTGGGTGGATGGAACTGGTCCTCTTTCTAATCACCGGTTGCAGGAGGATCCTCCACCTCCGGTGTTGGTAAGCGATATGATACATCCGACTGGTGAGTAGGATTGGGAGAAATTGAAGGCGTGTATTCCTATGCATATATGCTATCGCATTGCAGCAATGCCCCTCCCCCACCCCCAGAGGCCAGATTTTGCAAACGACACTCTAGTTTGGCAAGGGGAACTGAATTACAAGTTCTTTGTTCGTTCAGCCTACCGAACCCTTACTCCAAGCACGGCGGATCAAAATTCAGTGGGTTGGAGAATGTTATGGAAATTAAATGTACCACAGCGGGTTAAGACTTTTCTATGGCTTTCGCTCCATGGTGAACTCATTACGAATTTAGAGAGATGTCGGAGACACATGGCCACCTCGGCTCGTTGCTCGCTGTGCAACTTTGAAGATGAAGATTTACTCCATGTCTTTCGTGGATGCTCCTTTACTGTGAATATTTGGCGTAGGTTAATTCATGGGGATAGTTTCCAAAGCTTTCTTACACTGCGCCATGTCGATTGGATTAGGGTTAATTTGAAGAATTATGGTCAATTTGCCACTGAAAGTACAAACTGGGATGTGCCTTTTGCCATAGTAAGCTGGAAAATTTGGAAATACAGGTGTAATGTTACTTTCAACCCGGACTACGTGAAGCATGAGGATCTGGTGGCATAGAGCATTCGGCTTAAAAATGAAATGGTGGCACGGGAGAATGTTGTCGCAGTTAATCGCAGTGGTGTGAGAACTGCTGCACGGTGGTGTACACCTGCCAGGAACTGGGTCAAAGTTAACGCAGTGTTGGAAATAAAACACTCACACAAACAACTTTTATTGAAACTCAAACAAATATTACAAGAGTACTCTCACTCAAAAACAAGAACTACAACTCACTCTTATAAGACTTTGCTTCTTCACTCACTTAGAAGCTCTTAATTTTTCTTGATGCTTAAAACTAAAATGGGAAGGGGTATTTATACTACTCAAGAACAATCCTACACCACACAAATAAACTAATTTAAACCATTACAAATTCAACAAATATCTAACTCTCACCTAACTAAATTGATGTAAGCAATGACATCATTAATTAAATGATGTAAGCAATGACATCTTTAATTAAATGATGTAAGTAATGACATCAATTTAGTTTGGGTTTGTGTTTAGGCTCCCATAATGGATCAAGTTTATGATCCAACACCCTCCCTTAAACTTGATCTCGTGACCCCTAGTAGGTTCCTTAATCTTAAGAAGTCTTCGCTGGTCAGTGGCTTGGTAAAAATATCAGCAACTTGATCTTGTGACTTCACATATTCAACTTCCACATCTTTTCTTGCAACACACTCCCTTATATAGTGGTAGCGAATATCAATGTGCTTGCTTCGATCATGGAATACTGGATTCTTCGCTAAGGCAATGGCTGACTTGTTGTCGACACAAACCTTGGTAGGCTCTTCTTGTATCAAACCAATCTCCTTCAATAGATTCTAAGCCAAATTGCATGACAAACACATGAGGTAGCAGCAACATATTCCGCTTCACAAGTGGATAATGTGACAATCGGTTGTTTCTTTGACATCCATGTGAATGCAATATCTCCCATGAAAAATACGAATCCAGTAGTGCTCCTTCGATTATCTATATCTCCACCCCAATCATTGTCGCTATATCCAACAAGCTTGTAATCATTAGAAACTGAATAGAACAAGCCAAAGTCAATTGTACCTTTCAGATAGCGAAGAATTCTCTTTGCGGCTTTAAAATGGGTGGTTGTTGGGGATTCCATGTAGCGACTAACCAATCCAACTGCGTGAAAAATATCGGGTCTCGTGCAAGTTAGATAGCGTAGACTTCCTACCAAACTTTTGAAGAATGTTGGATCTACACTTTCGCCTTCTTCATGTTTGGTCATCTTGATCCCGTATTCTGCCGGTGTGCTTATTGGCTTACAGTTCTCCATCTTGAACTTCTTCAGTATCTCCTTTGCATAGCTTTCCTGTGAAATGAAAATTCCATCATTTTGTTGCTTAACTTCAATGCCAAGGTAGTACGCCATGAGCCCCATGTCTGTCATCTCGAATTCTTTCATCATCACATCCTTGAATTCATTAAACATGCTTGGGTTGCTTCCAGTGAAGATCAAATCGTCCACGTAGAGGCACACGATCAAAATATCTTCATCTTTGATCTTGATATATAGAGCATGCTCGTAGGGACATTTGTTGAAGCCATTCTCTTGGAAGTACTTGTCGATTCGGCTATTCCATGCCCTTGGTGCTTGTTTTAGCCCGTAAAGAGCCTTCTTCAACTTCAACACCTTGTCTTCATGCCCTTTGACTTCATAGCCTGATGGTTGCTGAATGTAAAGTTCCTCTTCAAGAACTCCATTTAGGAAGGCGGACTTTACATCCATCTGTTGTATCTTCCACTTGTTTTGAGCTGCCAAAGAAATGATTAGTCTGATAGTCTCCAATCGAGCAACAGGAGCAAATACCTCATCATAGTCAATTCCAGCCTTTTGACTATAGCCTTTAGCAACTAGCCTCGCCTTGTGCCTTTCAATCTCTCCTTTGGCGTTTTGCTTTGTTTTGTACACCCATTTGACACCTATCGCCTTATGTCCCTTGGGAAGTGAGGTAAGTTCCCATGTGTCATTCTTCTCGATGGCCTTGATTTCTTCGTCCATTGCATCTCTCCATTTCTTTTCTTGTACCGCTTCTTGAAAGCTCACTGGTTCACAATCGGTAAACAGACAAAATAATGTAAGATTATCTTGTCGTTCAGTTACCTCATAGAGATCTCTAAGGCTTCTTGTGCATTGCACAACTCTTTCACTTTGACTCCCACTTGACGATGATGAAGGTGATGAGTCTCCTTGAGTGGTTGATGTTGGTGAAGTGGGTGGAGTTGCAAGCTCTTGTTGAGATTCATCTAGTTGCTCCCTCATTGTCTGCTCATATTCTTCAAACTGAGGAAAGAAATTGAAGTCATCTGTATGAGAGTTAAAATCCCATTCTCCTTCTTCGTTGAAGACCACATCTCGACTAATCACAAACTTCTTATTGTCTGGATTGTACAACTTGTAGCCCTTCGAATTAGCATCATAGCCGATGAAGATAAAACTCTCGCTTTTATCATCAAGCTTCGTTCTTCTCTCGTCTGGTACGTGAACATGGGCTATACTTCCAAAGGTTCTCAAGTGGGAAATGCCAGGCTTTCTTCCACTCCATGCCTCTTGCGGTATCTTTCCCCATACACTTCTTGTTGGAGATCGATTTGACAAGTAGACTGCACACGATACTGCTTCTGCCCAAAATTCTTTGGGTAGTTTCTTGCTTTTGAGCATGCTTCGTGCCATGTCGAGGATTGTTCTATTCTTTCTTTCTGCCACACCACTTTGCTGGGGGGATCTAGGAACTGTCATTGGTCGACGAATTCCATTTGCTTCACAGAACTCTTGAAACTCCCTGGAAGTAAATTCTCCACCTCGATCGGATCTCATGGCTTTGATCTTTCTACCGCTTTCTCTCTCCACTGCTGCTTTGAACTTCTTGAAGACTTCAAAAACTTCTGACTTCTGTTTCAAGAAATATACCCAGGTTTTTCTTGAAAAATCATCAATGAAGAGAAGAAAATAGTTATTGTTACCGAGAGAGCTTGGCTTGATCGGTCCACACACATCGTATGGATGAGCTCAAGTGGCTTCTTAGCTCTTGTCTCTGACTCTTTTGGAAAGCTTTTCCTGAATTGTTTCCCGACTAGACACCCTTCACAGAGTTGGTCAGGATGGTTGATGTGAGGTAGTCCTTTCACCATCTCCTTCTTAGATAATAGCTCTAGACCTCCAAATTGAGATGCCCAAATCGAAGATGCCAAAGCCATGATGCATCTTTGTAGCAAGCTTTCAGGCACTTTGCAACATCATTTTGTATGTTGATCAAGAACATTCTATTCTTTGACATCGGCACTTTAGCAATGAAGTTATTCTTATCATCTTTCATAGAAAGATTATAATTATTCATATGAATATCATAACCTTTCTCTACCAGTTGCCCTAAACTTAAAATGTTACTTTTCATATTGGGCACATAGTAGACATTTGAAATAAATTGATGTCTCCCATCTTTCAAACGGATAAGAATGTTACCTCTCCCTTTCACTGCTATTGTGGAATCATCTCCAAACGAAACATTTCCACTTACTGACTCGTCTAGCTCCACAAACATGTCTTTCCTTCCACACATGTGATTGCTTGCACCACTGTCAAGATACCAGGAATTTGCTTGGACACCATCAGTTTCCTTTCGTGCTAGAAGAAGAGTTTCTTTGCCATCTGTCTTTTCCTCCACGTAATTGGCCTTCTCCTCAATTTTGTTGTTGGGAGCTCTACATTCTGAAGCATAATGCCCAAATTTTTGACAATTATAACATCGAATTTGAGATTTGTCATACTTTGAGTTTGGATTAATTCTTCCACGGCCTCGTGTTGAGCTTTCTCCTTTCTCATAGTTGTTGTTGGAATTGTTATTGTTGTAATTCCAGCCTCGTCCACGACCTCGACTTCTACCTCGTCCATGGCCTCTCTGCCTTGGCCACGTTGGTTTCTATCATTGCGTTGGCTCTCATGCATATCCTTGAGTTGCAGCTTGAGGAGTTGCTCAGTAAACTCATGCTTCTTTTTA